CCAGGCCAAAGCAGGAGAATCTCTTGAACTTGGGAGGCAGAGATTGCAGTGAGCAGAGATCACACCATTGCACTCCAGCCTGAGCAACAAGAGCAAAACTTCATCTCAAAAAAATAAATAATAAAACTATGTAATCATTATGACAAAGATCTTTACCTCATGCCTCAGAATAACAAGATATAACTATTATCAAGTAGTTACCATAGATCAGCCCTTATCCATTATAAAACATAGAAACACGCATTATCTTTCAGTATCCTCACCAAGAATCTTACAAGTTAGATTTTGTTTTACTATATCCGTTTTACATATGGGGAGACAGGCCTATAAGAGGTTAAGTAACCTGCCCAAGGTCACACTTCACGTAGTAATTTGAACATATAAGGAATTCACAATCTCCATCAATACACCATTATCCCACCTTCCAATTGATTTTCCTGCTATCACCCTGCAGAAATACTTAAAACTATAGGATCTTTAATAGAAGGAATACAGGAATTCACAAGAAACTAAATGACTACACCAACTCAGTGACTGCCCAAACTAAGGTCCAATGATTTCTATTTCAGGGTTCTTTCCAAAGCACAAGAACTTTTTTCTCTCACTGTTTAGTTTACTAGCTGCTTAAAATTCCCCACTTAGTCACTGGAAGAATATACAAGAAAAGAAAAAAATAAAAATACAAAAACTCTCCATTCCAAAGGTACTAAGTTAATAAGTACAAGGAAATCATGAAACAAATTAGAAATGGGATGAGAACCTGATAAGGCTCCTGGAAAAAAAAATTTGAAATAGAAAAAAAAAAAAGAGAGAGAAATACACTTCAAGTCAATCAACACAAAGTTGATCCAAGATCAAGATAGATTCAATAATATAAAGAAAAAAGAAAAAATGAATTTAAAAACTTGCAGTATATCCATACTGTAAAATATAAAATGCTTATTAAGGTCAGGTGCAGTGGCTCAGACTTGTAATCCCAGCACTTTGGGAGGATGAGGTGGGTGGATCACTTGAGGTCAGTTCAAGACTAACCTGGCCAACATGGTGAAACCCCATCTCCACTAAAAATACAAAAATCACCCCAGGGTGGTGGCATGCCTGTAATACCAGCTTCCCAGGAGGCTGAGGCACAAGAATTGCTTGAACCTGGAAGGCAGGACTACAGTGAGCAGAGCATGCCACTGCACTCCAGCCTGGGTGACAGCAAGTCTCGGGGGAGGGGGGAGGAAAGAGGCCAGGCACCGTAGCTCACACCTGTGATCCCAGCACTTTGCAAGCCCAAGGCAGGCAGATCACCTGAGGTCAGGATTTTGAGACCAGCCTGGCCAACATGGTGAAACCGCATCTCTACTAAAAATATAAAAATTAGCTGGGCCGGGCACGGTGGCTCAAGCCTGTAATCCCAGCACTTTGGGAGGCCGAGGCGGGTGGATCATGAGGTCAAGAGATCGAGACCCTGGTGAAACCCCGTCTCTACTAAAAAATACAAAAATTAGCTGGGCGTGGTGGTGCACATCTGTGGTCCCAGCTACACGGGAGGCTGAGGCAGAATTGCTTGAACCTGGGAAGTGGAGGCTGCAGTGAGCCGAGATCGCGCCACTGCACTCCATCCAGACTGGCGCCTGACAACAGAGCGAGACACTGGCGCCTGGCAACAGAGCGAGACTCTGTCTCAAAAAAAAAATTAAAAAAAAATTAGCTGGGCATGAAGGCAGATGCCTGTAATTCCAGCTACTCCAGAGACTGGGGCACAAGAATATCTTGAACCCGGGAGGTGGAGGTTGCAGTGAGCCGAGATCACGTCATTGCACCCCAGCCTGGGCAACAGAGCAAGACTCTGGCTCAAAAAAAAAAAAAAAAAAGGCCAGACCAAGCACTTTGGAGGCCAAGGCAGAAGGATCACCTGACGTAGGGAGTTCAAGACCAGCCTGACCAACATGGTGAAACCCTCTATTTAAAAAAAAAAAAAAAAAAAAAAAAGATAATTTTTTTTTTGAGACAGAGTCTCACTCTGTCACCAGGCGCCAGGCTGGAGCGCAGTGGCACGACCTCGGCTCACTGCAACCTCCTCCTCCCAGATTCAAGCAATTCTCCTGCCTCAGCCTCCCGAGTGAGTAGCTGGGACTACAGGCATGCGCCACCACGCCCAGCTAATTTTTTTGTATTTTTAGTAGAGACAGGGTTTCACCATGTTGGCCAGGATGGTCTCGATCACTTGACCTCGTGATCCACCTTCCTTGGCCTCCCAAAGTGCTGGGATTACAGGCATGAGCCACCGCGCCCGGCCAAAAGATAACTTTTATATAAAAACTTTCACCAAGTGGCAAGCTGTTTCTCTAATGTCCAAAAAATAAATAAATATATTTTAATGTTCAAAATGCAATGATTATTTAACTTGAATTTTAAGGAAATTTCTATATTTCATTATTATTAATACCTTGTGAATATTTACCCTTCTCTTGAAGCCACTTACATGTTTTAAGTGTTTGCTCTAAAAAATACAGTACCTTGGCAGGGCGCAGTGGCTCATGTCTGTAATCCCAGCACTTTGGGAGGCCAAGGCGGGCAGATTACGAGGTCAAGAGATCGAGACCATCCTGGCCAACATGGTGAAATCCCATCTCTACTAAAAATACAAAAATTGGCCAGACACGGTGGCTCACACCTGTCATCCTAGCACTTTGGGAGGCCGAGGCAGATGGATTATCTGAGCTCAGGAGTTCGAGATCAGCCTGGGGAACACAATGAAACCCCGTCTCTACCAAAAACACAAAAAAAACTAGCCAGGCATGGCAGCATGTACCTGTAATCCCAGCTATTCAGGAAGCTGAGACAGGGGAGTCACTTGAACCCAGGAGGCAGAGGTTGTTTGAGACAGAGAGAGACTCTGTCTCAAAAAATAAAAATAAAAACAATTAGCTGAGCGTAGTGGCATGTGCCTGTAGTAGCAGCTGCTCAGGAGGCTGAGGCAGTTGAACTGCTTGACCCCAGGAGGTGGAGACTGCAGTGAGCCAAGATCACGCCACTGCACTCCAGCCTGGATAACAGAGAAAGACCCTGTCTCAAAAAACAAAAAAGGCATAAGCCTTCACTATTTTGTTTCGAGACAGGATCTCGCTCTGTCACCCAGGCTGCGGTGCAGAGACACCATTTCAGTTCACTGTAGCCTCTGCCTCCTGGATTCAAGCAGTTCTCCTGCCTCAGCCTCCCAAGTAATTCCCTAGTCATAACATCATGCCCGGCTAATTTTTCTAATTTTAGTAGAGATGGAGTTTTGCCATGTTGGTCAGTCTTGTTCAATGAGACGGAGACTGTCACCCAGGCTGGAGTGCACTGATGCTATCTCGGCTCACTGCAATCTCTGTCTCCCAGGTTCAAACAATTCTCTGCCTCCTGAGTAGCTGGGATTATAGGCACCCACCACCACACCTGGATAATTTTTGTATTTTTAGTACAAATGGGGTTTCACCATCTTGGCCAGGCTGGTCTTGAACTCCTGACCTCGTGATCCATCCATCTCCGCCTCCCAAAGTGCCTGGGATTACAGTCCTGAGCCACCCCCTCGCCCAGCCAAATTTCTATTTTTTTTTTTTTTTTTTTTGAGACGGAGTTTCACTCTTGTTGCCCAGGCTGGAGTGCAATGGCGCGATCTCGGCTCACCGCAACCTCCGCCTCCTGGGTTCAGGCAATTCTCCTGCCTCAGCCTCCCGAGTAGCTGGGATCACAGGCACGCGCCACCATGCCCAGCTAATTTTTTGTATTTTTAGTAGAGACGGGGTTTCACCATGTTGACCAGGATGGTCTCGATCTCTTGACCTCGTGATCCACCCGCCTCGGCCTCCCAAAGTGCTGGGATTACAGGCTTGAGCCACCGCGCCCGGCCTAGCCAAATTTCTTAAAAATATAAAGGAAGCGCTGGGAGTGGTGGCTCACACCTGTAATCCCAGCACTTTGGGAGGCTGAGGTGGGTGGATCACGAGGTCAGGAGGTGAGCCAAGATCGTACCGTTGCACTCCAGGCTGGGCCACAGAGCAAGACTCCATCTCAAAATAAATAAATAAAGGAAGCACAATTTTTACATAAATTATTGAAAAACTTTTCCAACTTTGGATTAAAAGAGGGTAAGCTATACTACTATTATACTAGGATATGTATCAGTAATTTATGAAGTAGTACTGTGTATCATCTATCCTTCTCCCTACAAAAATGTGGAAGTATCCAGGATATTAGGTAGAAAAGCACTATCTTAGATACATTCCATTAAACACCGTCCCATTACTGCAGATGGAACAGTGTTACTTGAGTATCGAGTTTGGGCACCTAAGCAGTCTGAGGGTAAACAGCAGGCTGTACTGAGGTGAGAAATAAAGTGGGAGGCCAAACCAGGAAGATCCCTCGTGCTCAGGAGTTCGGGACCAGCCTGGGCAGCATAGCAAGACCCCATCTCTAGGGAAACAAATTTAATTAAAAAAAAGTGGCCTACCCTGAAACGCATAAACGTCCGATTAAAGCCAAGAAGGGGATGGAGGGGATGTGAATCATTCTTTTAGAAGCAAGTCTCCTGGCTAGACCCTCACACCTAGTTAAGTGTCCGGTCCGACTCAAGCTTCGTTCCAAATTCATCACCGATTCGTTTCTATTACTACGGCACCATTTTTGCCTTGAAGAATTCTCACCCCAAAACGCTACCCGTCCCCGGCCCCGGCCCTGTCGGTACCCGGGGCCACAGGGAAGCCGGGAGCGCTCGCTACCCGGGGCAGGGTGCACCGGGCCGGGTCCAGCGCCCGGCGGCAGGCCTGCAGCCACCGCGGAGCCCGGCCGGCGCGCGGCAGAAAACGGCGGCCGGCGAGCGCGCACGGAACCCCGGGACGAAGGCGCCGGGCCGGGGGGCGGCCGACCCCGCACGGGGGGTCGACGGGGCCGGGCAGCGCCGCCGCTGCCGCAGCTCGCGGCCGCCCCGACGCTCCTTTTGTTCCCCCGCGCCGGCGGCCGGCACTCACCAGGCGGATGAAGCCGAAGCCGCGGTCGCGGTTGATGAAGACTTCGCTGGGCTCGCCGTAGCGCTCGAAGAGCCTCTTGAAGTCCTCCTCCGTGATGTCCGTGGGCAGGTTTCCCACGAAGAGGCGGCAGCGCTGCGTGTACGTCTTCTCGCCCGGCTTGAGGAAACTCTTGATGTCGATGGTGAACCCCATCTCCTCGTCCGGGTGGTCCTCCGCGGGCGCGGGCGCGGGCGCCGCCTGCTCCCCGGCCAGCGCCAGCGCCATGGCGGCCGCCGGCTCGCTCTCGCCCGCCGCGGACTCCAGGGCGCGAAGGCGGGCCGGGTTTTTCTCGATGCGCACTTGCTTCAGGTTTCCTCGTAACATCATCTTCGTGAGCTCGCCCCGGACGCCGGACACAGGCCTGGATCTGTAGACGGTGTGTCTGGCTATGTATGTATGTCTACGTCTCTACAGAAGCCTCTGGCAACAAAATATTGACAGTCAAGAGGCCGCTGGGCAGGCGAGCGGGCAGCCCGTGCTCCCCGAACTCACGCCCGCAGCCGCTGGACATTCAAAATGGCGCTGCCCCCAACTGCAGTTAGAAGAAGAGACGCCGGCGCAAGCCCCGCCTCTCCGCTGGAGCCGCCGCCGGAGCGACGCGCCTGCGCATTCCCGGCGCCTGCGCATTCCCGGCGCCAACGGACCGTGGCCTCCGGCGGCGCATGCGCACCACGTTGCGCGTGCACTCGCCCGACGGCCCGGGAGGGGTGATGCCCGTTCCCACCCTGCGGGAGCACCGCAGTGCTGTCGGCCGTGGTCTTGGGACAAATTACGTGATGTGTGCAGCAGTGTGTGAAGATACAGTGGCTTGGGTACCAGCATCCTTACCCTTTTAGATATCAAGCTCAACTTTCAATGATAGGGGCCGGGCGCGGTGGCTCAAGCCTGTAATCCCAGCACTTTGGGAGGCCGAGGCGGGTGGATCACGAGGTCAAGAGATCGAGACCATCCTGGTCAACATGGTGAAACCCCGTCTCTACTAAAAATACAAAAAATTAGCTGGGCATGGTGGCGCGTGCTTGTAATCCCAGCTACTCAGGAGGCTGAGGCAGGAGAATTGCCTGAGCCCAGGAGGCAGAGGTTGCGGTGAGCCGAGATCGCGCCATTGCACTCCAGCCTGGGTAACAAGAGCAAACTCCGTCTCAGAAAATAAATAAATAAATAAAAATAAAATAATTGTGCTGTTGATTATTGGCCTCAGAGGACTTTGCTTATAAATTGCTTATAAAATCAATATAATCAGGCGGGGCATGTTGGCTCACGCCTGTAATCCCAGCACTTCGGGAGGCCGAGGTGGGAGGATCACCTGAGATTGGGAGTTCGAGACCAGCCTGACCAACATGGAGAATCCCCATCTCTACTAAAAATACAAAAATTAGCTGAATGTGGTGGCAGGTGCCTGTAGTCTCAACTACTTCAGAGACTGAGGCAAGAGAATTGCTTGAACCCAGAGGCAGAGGTTGCCATGAGCTGCGATCAAGCCATTGCACTCCACCCTGGGCAACAAGAGCAAAACTCCATCTTAAAAAAAAAAAAAAAAAAAAAAAAAAATTCAGTATAATCAGACCATGAGCTCTTACTGGCCATAGTCTTATGACAAGGGTCAACAAACTTTTTCTGTAAAGGCCCAGATAGCCAGTATTTCAGATGTGCAGGCCAGATTCTGTCACAACTACTCAACTCTATGCTCCTGGCACGTGATGACTCCTCAATGAATGTTGAAAAGAAAGGAACTCAGTCACTATGCAAAACAGTTCAGAAGTATCTCAGGAAGATCGACATTTGTGGGCCGGGCGCGGTGGCTCACACCTGTAATCCCAGCACTTTGGTAGCCCAAGGTGGGTGGATCACGAGTTATGGAGATCGAGACCATCCTGGCCAACATGGTGAAACCCCATCTCTTTAAAAAAAAAAAAAAAAAAAAAAAAGATGGGCATTTGCTAGTCTTTAGCAATCCCATTCCTAAGTATTTATCCAAGAGAAATGAAAACTTGTGTTCCCACAAAAATCTATATGCAAATGTTTATAGGGGCTTTATTGTCCTCAAAACAAAAGCAAACAATTAAAACGTCCTTCCACCAGTGGATGGATAAATAGTGGTACATTCATGTAACAGAATACTACTCAGCAATAAAAAGGAATAAACTACTGATATAAGCAACGCTGTGACTCAATAGGTTACATACTGTGTACATAACATTCTGGAAAAGGCAAAATTATTGCTGAAGAACACAGATTGATGGTTGCCCGGGACTGGGGGTGGAGGGGAGTTAACCTCATGGGGACACTCAGAAGCTTTTAGAATGATGGAGATCTTGATTGTGGTGACTACACAATTGTATGCTTTTGTCAAAACTCAGTCGAACTGTGCAGTAAAAGGATGAATGTGCCGGGCGCGGTGGCTCAAGCCTGTAATCCCAGCACTTTGGGAGGCCGAGGCGGGTGGATCACGAGGTCGAGAGATCGAGACCATCCTGGTCAACATGGTGAAACCCCGTCTCTACTAAAAATACAAAAAAATTAGCTGGGCATGGTGGCACGTGCCTGTAATCCCAGCTACTCAGGAGGCTGAGGCAGGAGAACTGCCTGAACCCAGGAGGCGGAGGTTGCGGTGAGCCGAGATCACGCCATTGCACTCCAGCCTGGGTAACAAGAGCGAAAACTCCGTCTCAAAAAAAAAAAAAAGGATGAATGTTGGCTGGGGGCAGGGGCTCACATCTGTAATCTCAGCACTTTGGGAGGCCAAGGCAGGTGGATCACCTGACATCAGAAGTTCGAGACCAGCCTGCGCAACATGTTGAAGCCCCATCTCTACTAAAAATACAAAAAATTAGCTTGGCATGGTGTTGGGTGCCTGTAATCTTAGCTACTCGGGAGGCTGAAGCATGAGCATCTCTTTTTTTTTTTTTTTTTTTTTTTTGAGACAGAGTTTTGCTCTCGTTACCCAGGCTGGAGTGCAATGGCGCGATCTCGGCTCACCGCAACCTCCGCCTCCTGGGTTCAGGCAATTCTCCTGCCTCAGCCTCCTGAGTAGCTGGGATTACAGGCACGCGCCACCATGCCCAGCTAATTTTTTGTATTTTTAGTAGAGACGGGGTTTCACCATGTTGACCAGGATGGTCTCGATCTCTTGACCTCGTGATCCACCCGCCTCGGCCTCCCAAAGTGCTGGGATTACAGGCTTGAGCCACCGCGCCCGGCCAGCATGAGCATCTCTTGAACCTGGGAGGCGGAAGTTGCAGTGAGCCGAGACTGTGCCACTGCACTCCAGCCTGGACAACAGAGCCAGACTCTGTTTCAGAGAAAAAAGAGAGAGGGAGAGAGTTTCTGCATTGTATGTTTCCAATTGTTCATCATTTATTTTCTCCTTGGATCCCTGAGCCACAGTAATGCATCTTCTGTCCCCCACCATTTCATTCTCTGAAGCCTTCTTGTCATAATCAGCAGCAACATTCTTCACTTTGCCAGACCCCATAGTCAAATCTCAGATCTTCCTCCAGTCAACCTTTCAGCAGCATTTGACATTTGTAAATCTGTGCCTTCATTTATTCAGCTACAAAATGGGCATAATGCCTACTTCACAGAGTTATTGTGAATATTAAATGCTTAATTAAGGCTGTCCTCAGTGGATCATACCTGTAATCTTAGCAATTTGGGAAGCAGAGGCGGGTGGATCACTTGAGATCAGGAGTTCAAGACCAGCCTGGCCAATACAGTGAAACCTGATCTCTACTAAAAATACAAGAATTAGCTGGGTGTGGTGGCGGGCGCCTGTAATCCCAGCTGCTCGGGAGGCTGAGGTAGGAGAATCGGACCACTGCACTCCAGCCTGGGCTTCGCAGTGAGAGTCTGTCTCAAATAAATAAGTAAATGCTTAATTAAAATACTTAGAAAATGTTCTGCCATCATAAATATTAGTCAGTGTAGCCAGGCGCAGTGGTTCACACCTGTAATCTCACCACTTTGGAAGGCAGAGGTAGGTAGATCACTTGAGGTCAGGAGTCCAGGACCAGCCTGGCCAACATGGTCAAACCCCATCTCTACTAAAAATACAAAAATTAAGGAGGGTCTTGGGCAGGTGCCAGATGCTAGGAATGGCAACTGCAGCTCCCTGAGCACTCTCTATGCAGAGATGGGGATCCCAGACATGAGGAGGCTTCTCGTGGTCACCAGCCTTTTGGCTGTGCTGTTGTGGGGGGCTGGTGCGGCCCCAGCACGCAAGTTCCTGTCAAGGTCCAAGTCGAACGCCAGCCCTCAGCAGGATGCAGCAAAGGCCTGGGGTGCCCGTGTGGTGCAGCCAACAGAGAAGGACAACCAGCTAGTGGGGGTGCTCCCCGTCCAGAACCCGAAGCTCCTGACTGCTGAGGAGAAGCCACCAGGCACCAAGGTCTGGGTGAAGACCAAGGACATCCTGGGCCATGTCCTGAGCCCCCAGCAGGGTCCTGAGCCCAGCCTTGACAGCCTGTACCACCCTCCACCTAAGGAGGACCAGGGCAAGGAGGGGCCCTGGTTGTGGGTCATGCCAAATCACCAGGTGCTCCAGGGACCAGAGGAGGACCAAGACGTCCTCTACCACCCTGAGTAGGGCTCTAGGGGGCATCACTGTCTCCTCCCTGTTCCAAGGCCCAGGCTGTTGGGACTGGGACCTTCCCTACCCACCCACCAGCTAGACAAATAAACCCCTGCAGGCCAACACGGTGACTCATGCCAGTAATCCCAGCACTTTGGGAGGCCAAGGCCAGCAGATCACCTGAGGTTAGGAGTTCGAGACCAGCCTGGGCAACATGGTGAAATCCCATCTCTACAAAAAGTACAAAAATTAGCCAGGTGTGGTCAGGGGCGTCTGTAATCCCAGTTACTTGGGAGGCTGAGGCAGGAGAATCACTTGAGCTCAGGAGGCAGAGGTTGCACTGAGCTGAGATCGTGCCACTGCATGCCAGCCTGGTAACAAAGCAAGACTAAATGAATAAATAAAAATCAGCCGGGAGTGGTGGCAGGTACCTGTGGTGGCTCACGCCTGTAATCCTAGCACTTTGAGAGGCCAAGGTGGATGGATCACGAGGTCAGGAGTTTGAGACCAGCCTGGCCAACATGGTGAAACCCCATCTCTACTAAAAATAAAAATTAGCCTGGCGTGGTGGCACGCATCTGTAATCCCAGCTACTCGGGAGGCTGAGGAAGGAGAATTGCTTGAACCCAGGAGGTAGAGGTCGCAGTGCCGAGATCATGCCATTGCACTCCACCCTGGGTAACAAGAGCAAGACTCCATCCCAAAAAAAAAAAAAAAGAAGTTGAAGCCTGGGTGAGGTGGCTTAAGGCTGGGCGCCTTGGCTCATGCCTGTAATCCCAGCACTTTCGGAGGTTGAGACAGGTGGGTTATTTGAAGTCAGGAGTTTAAGAGCAGTATGGCCAACTTGGTGAAACCCCATCTCTACTAAAAATACAAAAAGTTAGACAGGCAGTAATGGTGTGCGCCTGTAATCCCAGCTACTCAGGAGGCTGAATCGCTTGAGTCTAGGAGACCAAGGTTGCGGTGAGCTGAGATTGCGCCACCACACTCCAGTGAGTGCAATCCAGTGAGACCCTGTCTCAAATTTTAAAAAAGAAAAAGAAAAACAAGTTGAGCTAGGATGTGAATTGTTAAATAAAATGTATGGGAAGCAACGTGGCATGGTGGCTCATGCCTGTAATCCCAGCACTTTGGGAGGCCAAGACAAGTGGATCACTTGAAGTCAGGAGTTCGAGACCAGCCTGGCCAGCATGGTGAAAACCGGTCTCTACTAAAATACAAAAATTACCCAGGTGTGGTGGCAGACGCCTGCAATCCCAGCTACTGGGGAGGCTGAGCCAGGAGAGTCACTTGAAACTACGAGGCGGAGGCTACAGTCAGCCAAGATCACATCGCTGCACTCCAGCCTGGGCAACAAAGTGAGACTTTGTCTCAAAAAATAAATCGATAAAAAATAAAAATAAAATAAAATCACTAGTCAGAGTTGCCCCCTACGTACTTTACATCCACACCGGGTGCCGAGCATCTCAAATATAAGGTGTCCAGAGCAAGACTGTCGGTGATCTCCTCACAGACCTCACCACGCCCAGTCCTTACTGTTCCATGAATGGCACTGACGTTCATCCACATCCACAGCCATCAAACTAGAGGTCTTACTATACACCTTTTCCTTTTTTTTTTTTTTTTTTTTTTTAGACGGAGTTTTCGCTCTTGTTACCCAGGCTGGAGTGCAATGGCACATTCTAGGCTCACCGCAACCTCTGCCTCCTGGGTTCAAGCAATTCTCCTGACTCAGCCTCCCGAGTAGCGGGGACTACAGGTGTGCGCCACCATGCCCAGCTAATTTTTGTATTTTTAGTAGAGATGGGGTTTCACCTTGTTGACCAGGATGGTCTCGATCTCTCGACCTCGTGATACACCCGCCTCGGCCTCCCAAAGTTCTGGGATTACAGGCGTGAGCCACCGCGCCCGGCTCCTTTTCTTACTACAGCCACAATATCCAATCAGCAAATCCTGTTGACTCTGCTTTCAAAATATATCCTGAACACAAACATTTTAAATCAACTCATCATCTGAGAACGACTAATCATTATCTAGTAACTACTGGAGCAGTCTCCTAATTATCTTCTTGCTTCCTCTCTCGCCCTGCTAACGTCCATTCTTTTTCTTTTTGTTTGTCCTGATTATTTTTATAATTTTTTCCCAGAGAAGTACTAACATGTATTCCCTAGAGAGCAGAGATGTATTTTATTTTATCACATAATAATAATTTTATTTATTTATTTTTTTATTTTTTGTAAAGATGCAGTTTCACCATGTTGGTCAGGCTGGTCTTGAACTCCCAACCTCAGGTGATCCGCCTGCCTTGGCCTCCAAAGTGCTTAGATTACAGGCATGAGCCACCACGCCCGGCCAATAATTATTTTTTTAGATAGGATCTCCCTATGTCAATCCAGGCTGGAGTGTAGTGGTACCATCACAACTCACTGTGCCTCAACTCCCCCAGGCGCAAATAATCCTCCCGCCTCAGCCTCCCAAGTTGCTGGAATTACAAGCAAGTGCCACCGTATCTGGCTTACTTTTAATTTTTTGTAGTGATTCGTTTTTTGTTTTGTTTTGTTTTGAGACAGAGTCTCACTCTGTCGCCCAGGCTGGAGTGCAGTGGCACGATTTCGGCTCACTGTAACCTCTGCCTCCCAGGTTCAAGTGATTCTCCTGCTTCAGCCTCCTAAGTAGCTGGGATTACAGGCATGCACCAACATGCCCGGCTAATTTTTTTGTATTTTCAGTAGAGATGGGGTTTCACCACACAGGCTGGCCACGCTGGTCTCAAACTCCTGACCTCATGATCCGCCCACCTCGGCCTCTCAAAGTGCTGGGATTACTGGCTTGAGCCATCATACCCGACCTTGTGATGTGGTCTTTCCATGTTGCCCAGGCTGTTCTCAAACTCCTGGGCTCAAGCAATCCTCCCACCTCAGCCACCCGAAATGCTGGAATTGCAGGCGTGATCTACTGCACCCAGCTCAGAGACGTATTTTAAATTTAAGTCACACTTTTGCTTTCAGGAAGATCTTAACAAGACATACTGAAAAACTTGCCTGCTAAAAACACCAAGAAATCGGCCGGGTGCAGTGGCTCAAGCCTGTAATCCCAGCACTTTGGGAGGCCGAGGTGGGTGGATCACGAGGTCAAGAGATCGAGATCATCCTGGTCAACACGGTGAAACCCCGTTTCTACTAAAAATCCAAAAAATGAGCTGGGCATGGTGGCACATGCCTGTAATCCCAGCTACTCAGGAGGCTGAGGAAGGAGAATTGCCTGAATCCAGGAGGCAGAGGTTGCGGTGAGCCGAGATCGCGCCATTGCACTCCAGCCTGGGTAACAAGAGCGAAACTCCGCCTAAAAAAAAAAAAAAAAAAAAAACCACCAAGAAATCCACTTTGGGAGGCCGAGGTGGGTGGATCACAAAGTCAACAGATCGAGACCATCCTGGTCTATGTGGTGAAACCCCGTCTCTACTAAAAATACAAAAAATTAGCTGGGCATGGTGGCACGTGCCTGTAATCCCAGCTACTCAGGAGGCTGAGGCAGGAGAATTGCCTGAACCCAGGAGGCGGAGGTTGCGGTGAGCCGAGATCGCGCCATTGCACTCCAGCCTGGGTAACAAGAGCGAAACTCCGTCTCAAAAAAAAAAAAAAAAAAACCACCAAGAAATCCTGGATAGACTACAAAAACAAATCTTTTACATGCAGAATTAAATTCCCAAAAAAGTAAAAGAAATCGACCCTGGTATAATATGAAATATACTTGGGCTTCGTCCCCACTTCCTGTCATGGAGCTTTTATTTTTATTTTATTTCTATTTATTTTGAGACTCAGGCTGGAGTGCAGTGGCACAATCATAGTTCACTGCAACCTCAAACTGCTCCTCTCAAAGAGTCCTAGCTCAGCCTCCCCAAGTGCTGGGATTACAAGGCTTGGGTCAACATACCTGGCCTCACAAAGCCTTTAAAATCTTTGGGACTTCCTGAGGTATGGGAGGGTCTTTTGTTATTAATAGTGAGCCCCTTTCATAACACCTGAGTTTATGCTAATGCAGTGACTTGATACGGTAAATTGGGTCGAAGAGAAGGGGGTCCTTAGGCAGCACTGGCTGGGGCTGCGCTCCAGAAAGATCAAGTGATTAGAGGATTAAGGGTTGGAACTCTCAGCCCCAGCCAGTGAGAAAAGAGAAGAACTTTTATCTGAGGAATGCAAATCCTTTAAATCTTCAGGTTTGTGAACCCAGTGGCTCCTGCCTGTAATCCCAACACTTTGGGAAGCCAAAGAGAGAGGATCCCTAGCTCCCAGAAGTTGAAGACCAGCCTGGGCAACAGAGCAAGATGTTATCTCCAAAAAATAAACTTAAATTAAAAAGTAAAAATAGGCCGGGCGCGGTGGCTCAAGCTTGTAATCCCAGCACTTTGGGAGGCCGAGGCGGGTGGATCACAAGGTCGAGAGATCGAGACCATCCTGGTCAACATGGTGAAACCCCGTCTCTACTAAAAATACAAAAAAAAAAATTAGCTGGGCATGGTGGCACGTGCCTGTAATCCCAGCTACTCAGGAGGCTGAGGCAGGAGAATTGCTTGAACCCAAGAGGCGGAGGTTGCGGTGAGCCGAGATCGTGCCATTGCACTCCAGCCTGGGTAACAAGAGCAAAAAACTCCGTCTCAAAAAAAAAAAAAAAAAAGTAAAAAATAAAGTATCAGTCCTAGAGAGACATTAAATGAGACAGCAGGCATGGCCTACTCCTTCCTTTCAACTGTGTATTCATCTCTTGAAACTGCTTGCTGGCCAGGCAAAGTGACTCACTCCTGGAATCCCAGCTGTTTGGGAAGCTGAGGTGGGCAGATCACTTGAGTCCCAGAGTTCAAAACCGGTGTGGGCAACACAGGGAGACTCCGTCTCTACCCAAAAAAAAAAAAAAAAAAAAAAAAAAATTTTTTTTTTTTTGAGACAGAGGCTTACTCTGTCACCCAGGCTGGAGTGCAGTGGCACAATCTCGGCTCACTGCAACCTCCGCTTCCTGGG